AGTCAGAGGTGGAAACTTGGAAACAGCAACAAAAAAATAATCAGAAAGCTTTTGAAGGCAAAACTTCTGCAGTTTAGAAAGCTCTTTACAAGGCCAACTGTTTGCAAATAAAGGTACTAGTGATTAAAATCACTGGCTCCTTGAAGAAAATAATGTGTGGTTAATCGGACTCTAGAGAAGAAACCTCAGGCTGAGGGGGGAAGCGTTTCATAGCAGTGATCCGTTATTGATACAAATGAAAACACTGAAAAATGTAAATTAGTGAGTAGAACATGCTCTGAAGTTTGTGGGGATGAAGCTAGTTTGTGCCCTTCCCAGAGAAGCCCAAGGAGCCCAGCACGCTGAAATATTGAGAAAGAATGAGCCACCCCAAGGATCCTTTTGCTGCTTTAAAGACCAACCAGTGCTTGGTAGCTGTGCCAATCTTTCGGGTTGTTTAATGTATCAGTAATAGATGACCTTGATTAAAATAAACCCGTGTCCAACCAAACAAGCGCTGGCACCTTGACCAGGAGCGAGCCCAACGTCTCCGCAGCGGGGACCGTGCTGCCCGCAGCACTGTGCCGCAGACCTGTCCCGAGGGGGGTTCCTGTGGGGTGGCCCCTGCCAGCTTCCCAGGCAGCTGCAGCCGGCAGCTCGCTGGGCACATCCCACCGGGCAGGCTGCGGGGTCCATTTGCGTGGCTGAGCCTGCAGCATGGACACCCCCAGCCCGAGAACCCCGCCTCGCAGCACGAGCGCTCCTCCAAGAGATGCGCCTGCCACAGCACGGTGCCACCCGCGCACTCCCCAGGCCATGGCCGTGACAGTCGCCACATTGCATCCCTGCTTACAATGCCAGAGGTGGGTACCTGGATCCGGGAGCTGGACTTGGAACAACTTCTCGTACCGTCTCTGTAGGACACAGCTGGCGTTCTTTTTCAGCCGGGGGATGCAGCGATTCAGCCTGTGCTGCGTAATGACACACCAGCACCCCCTGACAAGTACTGAGAATGCCTGGCACTTTAGGGAGTTAAAAAAAGTCTGTGCGATGAGCCAACAACGAGTTTTGCCAGTGGCAACACAGGTAGTTTGCTTTTCTCGCTATTTCCAGTTAAATAATTAGCTTTTTGGGGTTTTTTTTGTGCACATCTTGTTTTTCTCTAAGTGCCACCTGCATGTTTTCACTGGGAAGTTAATTGCTACCTACCTGCTCCGGTGGTGAGGTGGGCGAGACGACTGGGGGGCTGCAAGCATTAGCACCACAGCAGAGGTGTTCACAATGAGATTTCGGGAACAGGGAAGAACACAGAATCACAGAATCA